TATACTACTGTAGATGTAGTTGTTAGCTATTAAATGTCATTCATTAATGAATTTTAGTTTGGAAAGCTCTGAGACTTGATATCAATATGAAATCTTATTAACAAGCTAGAAATTGCAAACTTGGTATCTATACCAAACGAGTAGATAGTTTCTGTTGAAATGTATAATCGAATTTATTCAACATAAGTTAGTTGAAGTGTGTGTAAAAATTTAAGATTTAACCTAACAGGGATAATAATTCATGCTTCTCTTTAAAGTAATATGTGGATAAGTACTATGAGACAAAATGGGACTATGAACAACCAATTATCTATCAAGTTCTTTAGTGGCGATTATAATTCAAAGAATTCAAAGTATGTTTCTAGTTTTTGATAACTTGCTTCAGATAACAATCTTAGCTGACAGAAAACAACACATTATAAATTACAATATACATATGAATTTTGATAGTTTTCTCTGAACTCTAAAAAGTTGATATTAATAGTGTGAGGGATTGTTGACTGTCAAGTTTTACAGTTTAAATCATCAACTAACCTTAGTTAGAGAGCCACTAAAAATTAGGAAGCACTAGAGAGCTGTTTCAACCTTGTATAGGGTTCCGTAGCAGTGAGCATCCCACACTTCATTTGTGTTTGAACCAAGTAGAAATTTTATCCTTTAGACGACAGAGTTGAGATCCAATGGTTTGTATTTTCATTTTTTATGAGCTCACGATATTGCGCAACTATCTTTCAATATCATTGATGAGTGAAGTTCAAGCATGTCGTATGTGAGGCAGCCACCAATCAACGGTATTAAAAAATGGTTGAGTAGTATCGCGAATTGACTGAACGTCTACGCATAAATCGTTGGATACCAAATTATTGGTCGGATGGTTAAGCGCTCAACACGAGATGTGAAGGTTTTCTGTTTGATCTCTGATGGGGTCATAATGGAGTATCACTAAGAATCTCCACACCAAGTCAATACAGTTTTGCAGTGGTTTCTGTACTTCAATAGCCGTAAAATTAAGACCAGTGTGTCATGCTAACTGTGAAGTTATAATTGAGTTTCTGTATGTAGACTGTGTAGAATTTTAATATAGTTATCACAGTGGATTAATCATTTGGTTTTGGGTTTTTTATGAAAATTATTTTGAAATGAAATAGGCAGCCACTGTAATAAATAATAGTCATATCTACTGGCAATCATGTGATAGATTAACTTCCTGAAATTTTAATAGAGTCGACTAAATATGTGACAAGGTAATAATACACTAATAGTATTGCGTAAAATTCTCAGTGTATTACATTCTGATTGAATTTAAAGACTCAGACCACTGGATGATAATTCGCTGGCTAAATAAAGTCTTGGTTGATGAGAAATCTGGAAAATTCGGGCTTAATCCCATATTGTTTGTAACTGTAGTGATTCACGGTGAAAACTACAACCAAAAGGAGTATTATTTCTGAAAGCATTGGAATTGTTTCTTCTTATTTCTTTTACCAGACCGTTTTCTGAGATTTTACCTTTTCTACAGTTACCTACGAGGCGTTTATTATTCCAATCATAGTGAACATATACCATCCATACTCTTGTTGGAGAATCATTGGAAAACAATTAAGACATATTTGTTTACTGCATGAATCAGAACTAAACATAAATAACTATTTTACATGTATCAATTTTTTAAATGACTTCAAATATGTTACTTATATTAGAAGAATTAGTAGTGTATAGACAGTGTAATCTAAAATGAAATAATTTGAGTTATTCATATAGTGATTTTTAATAGTAATAATCTTAATAATCGGTATTTTTAATGCACATTCAAGTTTGTACATAATAGTTGTACCATATTCATCAATCCTTATGAAGTGCGAAATCAAGTGTAGGATATTATTTTTGAAGCATAATATTTTGAATATTAACTGAAAATGGTTTGTTTGTTGAAGTTTTTAACGGATTACAAAAACTTTTGTTCACTTAAACTGAAAAAAAAACACTAATTTTATCGATTATCTATTAAGTACTTTGATAAACCAACTAACTTATTTTTATAAGCAAAGATGGAAAGTGGCTAGCAGTGGAATCCAGGACGCGCGTTTCGTCTTATTTGGGACTCGTCAGTTGGATGTACCTGCATCTCAGACTTGATGTTCACTCTGGGACTCGAACTCAGTACCGTTCGCTTCATTTTTACATTATATTCTTTAATAATTTACATTAAAACAAACTTTTAATTTTATAAAATAAATTCTAATTTTACCATACATATATATTATTTTAGGTGAATCAATTATTCATCTAAACGTTTTTCCCACTGTAAAATTCATTTTATTTCACTATAGTAATGTCTGTTCACACTATACCTATACGTATACATGTCTTTGCATTCAATCTTAAAGAAAAATGTTTTTGATAACTTTCTACGACATTTCAAGCGATAACTAATGTCTGAACAAATGTGTGATTATGTTTAACATAATAGAATAAGTCAATACTTATTCTTATGAATGAAATAAAACCAGCACGTATATAAATTAAATTTATCATCAATATCATTGATGGGGTAACATTCAAATAGCAAATCATGTTGATGCTTTCATAACATTTGTTCAAAACACAATGATTTCTTAACAGAAATAAATATCAACTCTGATGTTACTTATTTTTTTTTGTTGTTTCGTTTATATATATATTTATTTGATAGATTCACATTATGTAATAAGTTATTCAAAGGATGATGGTTTACTTTGTACATCACTTTTATTTTGGAAACATAATGTAATCTAATGACATAGTATAATGATAATATTCTACATATTACGAAGATATTTATAGAAGTAATCATTTTTAAAAGCTAACGTAATTGACAGTTAAACCATCTGAAAGAAATAAAAACATACCTAACTCTAGCAACAAAAAAAAGACCAAGAAATCTTTATTTAACTAAACAGTTGATTCGCATTTCTTTTTTTTTAAACACAGATTTTTTAATTTATTTTCAATACGATGTAAAGCAGTAAGTTTTCGGGATCTGTTGATCAATTTTCATCGGGATTCGAGTTAATAATGATAGGTGACTAGATATTTATTGCATTATATATAAGATGGTTCACAACATTTTTACAAGCAAAACATGGTGAATGTAACTTGGTAGAGTAATAAATAAAGTTTTGACATTTCCATTGACAGGTATTTGGTATTTTTTGTCTCAGTCAGAACTTTAGTACTGACACTCAGTGTAAAAATATCTTGTGAATTCAGTAATTTTGTTACCATTCATTACAGTTCTAAGCTGCTACAAGTCTACATATTAACTGAAAGAATATAAATAGTAGATAAATTAAATAGATTAGTCGAAACTAAAAAAATGTGTATCCGTGTCAAAAATTTCTGGTTGTTTTATTTATATAATTGAAAATTAAAATTTTATCAAAATATGCAACTGATGACAAAAAAGTTTAATTCAATATCTAGAAAAAACCAAATAAATATGTTAATGATAAGACATTCAAAATTACGCTTACTCAAGTCATGCTATATAGTTCAATTCAATAGTTGATTTTTGAGGAATCAGTGTCATGATACCTAATATGTCCACATTTTCATTGTTCATTTCATCTTCGAACCATTCAGTATAGGACACTGAGATAATCATATATGATGCATGTTCACAAAATCATTCAGAGATTTTCCACCTTTACTTTGTACTCTATATTGAAAGTCAAGATTGCCTGTCTGATAATTATAGCAAGTAAAAGAAATACCTTAAGGACACATGCGGTAGAATACTGTTCCATACCCATCCTCTTTAACATCGAATACAAAGTAAATAGATGATTAGGTCTGTTTCAACATTTTTCAGATAATCATAATTTGTCATATACTTGTTTCAGCTATGAGGTGTTGTGTAAAATATGTAGGTAAGATTGGGCAGTTGTTTGATGTCTTTTGATGATAAAAATTTTCTACTGGTACAGTTTAGTGTGATATTTTGTTCAGGCTATTTGAATGGAGTTATCTATCAATTTGTATGCTCGTATTAGTGGCCGATTCCAGCTTTCTTAGCTTCTGAGTATTCTATGTCAACCCCTAATTTAAACTGTGGGCTTAAGATGGTTTGTTAAACTATCCTAAAGCTACTTCACAATGAAGTGTTTCATTACATGTTCTTCCTTACGTCTTTCAACAATATTTAGCCTACTGTTTAGTAGCTCACTTGAAACAGAAGTTAAGAAAACTTTCATGTATGCAGGTAACTTAAATCATATTAGTGATTAAGGTGATCTCACTAAACTAGGTTAACAGCTAACAACATGAATCAAGAGTGAAATCAATATTTGAAATTATCTTTGTTTAAAGAAAGCAAGTTTTGGATTGGACTAAGCTTTTATTCGAGCAAGTGTATATTCATGTAATAGTGAATGGCAGAAAGTTTTACTTGGAAGATTATTTAGAAGTTACAAGCTAACAATTTTCAAAGTGCACCTAAAATAAAAGTTTTCAGACTGTCTCGATTCTTAGCAGTTCACCAACTGATATTATTACTCAATGATAGCTATCTTCAAATTAAACTGGTCTCCATAAATAATCCAGTTGAAAATTACTACGGAGCTCTTCTTTTACTATTAAAACTACAAAGAGTGTTTGAAGTAGATCTGTACCAAGTCCTAGAACTAGGTTTCATATTAGTTCGAATTCACTAGTAAGATTTATCTGCAATTTGTAGTAAAGTAATATTCCCTGTGATATGTGGACCTTGATCATCTAAAGTCACAGTAAGAGATGTTTTCATTGAGCTAGTCAGGTCTTAAGAGATATCTTAAAGTAATCTAATACTTACATTGATTGTATGCTGAGGATTAGTCAGTCTAATGTTTGTTTATTCCTTTGTGTTGATCAAACGCTGCCGATTAAATTACTATTAACTCTACTTTCCTCTTCATTTTGTATTAATAAAACTTATAAATATTATCGTGATTTTATACATATGTATATTTTGCTTTCCTTTATAGGTGAAAATGAATATATTCAACATTTCTGTTGTATATCAATTGCTTCCGAGACAATCGTTTGCCATGCAATTTTATTACACCTTTTAGGATCAAGTTTAGATACCCATTTTCGACTAACTAAACCAAAATGGTTTTCTAATACGACAGATGTATCAAGTAGAAAATATTTATTGGCTATACGCTTGAAAATAGCTGCACCATGGATAGTGAGTATATTACAGACCGGTGCACAAATTTTACTAAGTGATTCATTCCCACCTGCTTATTTGGAAGAAGGCAGATTGTGTACATCGCCTGATATTAATTTTTTAATATTACGTACATTAGTTGCATTTCTGCTACCTTTATTAACTAGTATAATAATTCTATTTATGACTGCGCATCGAATACAAACGTTACAATGTCAACAAAAACAGAATAAAACAAACATGAATTCTTTTAATATTCAACAGAAGAAACTTAATGATACAATTAGCTCTCAAGTGAAAAAGCAATCAACTTGCTGTCTTATTACTTCTTGTATAAATAAATACTGTCAATCACGTAAACATAAAGTGGAATTAATCCCCTTATCTTATTCCAATCATTATTGTTCTTACGATCATAAAGTAAGTAAACAAGTGATTATTGCAATTTTTTTAATTATTATTATTATTATTGTTTGCATAGTGTTGAGGTGTCTTACACTAGAACAGAATAACTTTCCAGAGTATCTTAGTTTTCAATGATTGTCTAGCTAAAGTTAATTTGTGACGTAAATTACAAATTAAGTAATTTCTACAAAGAAAATTTTAATAACGATTAAAAATCACTTTGTAGATTAATAAGAATTTGTGTTCGATAAACAATTGTTTCTAACCTAGTCTGAGATTATTCAACAATATTTAGTTCTAATTGTAAAAATTTCTGGATTGGACGTAAATTTTCCCAATATTAACGCAATTTAAAATGGATTTCTTGAAACTGATTTTGAGAAGGCGTAAATTATGGAGTTAACCAGGTTATAAATATTGACAGGACTAGATTATTTTCGGCTGCTTTTAATAGTATTTGGAGATTTTTTTTATTGAGATCGTAAATCGATAGATGTTAGACCACCATCGAGAACCTGGAAGCAGTGGACTGCCATTTCGTCCTATTTTGGGACTCCTCAGAAGTGCGCACGCGGGAATCAAACCCAGGACCTTCGGTCTCGTGCGTGAACGCCTAACCTCTAGACCACTGAGCCGGCATCCAACGGTGTTAATGTCCCATATTAGGATGAAACGGCCATCCGATGCTTCCAGGTTTTTAATGATGGTCTAACATCGATCGATTCATGTTCTCAATAAAAAAAACATAACAATCTCTACAACCTCATATTGGTAAGTACTTGGAGAGTTTGCGTTTAAAGTTTTCAATAGTCCATTTTTTACTAGTACATAACTTCAAGAAGATTGAACAAAATAAATTCTTATACAACTTTATGATCACAAAAAAGCTTACCATAAATATGTAAATAATTGTTTGTTATGGTATTCAAGTTCGTAACTGATCAGTCTATATTACCATATGTGCATTCTGAATGAATTCCTTCGATAATATCTTTTCAGTTCCGTTTTTAAGTCTATAATGATATACAGGCTGCATGTCTTAGCTTATTTTTGATGCATCAGCTAGGTATACTTCCATGACTGTATTGATATTCACATTGAAACTAGAACCAAGTTTCTATCGTTTTTTAGGTCAGCGTGTCATAAATTACTCTACCTAGACTATATACCCACTAACTTGTTAGGAGAATTAGAAGGCATTTCTAACGGTTTGTATTATCCTATTGTTGATAAAAAGGACTAAATTTTGATGAGTCTTTGATGGTGTACGTATATTCTGAGACGATGCCTTTGGATTATTATAAATTGTTTTGAATGATGTCATATGTTATTTATAGGTCCCAACATTAGCTATTCAGGAGGCTTTATTATTCTAGTCACAGTTATAGAAAACATGTTGGTTTCATGCTACTTAGAAATTAATTACTCCTGTCACATGGACAAGTAATAAGTAGTAACCTGATCTACTTCGGACGTCTACACTTATTGGTAAATAGATTACCGGTTCGAAATGAAGAATATGGTTGTCTTAACTTACTTACTTACTTACTTACGCCTGTTACTCCCAATGGAGCATAGGCCGCTGACCAGCATTCTCCAACCCACTCTGTCCTCCGCCTTCTTTTCTAGTTCCATCCAATTCTTGTTCATTTTTCTCATGTCTATTTCCACTTCTCGGCGTAATGTGTTCTTTGGTCTTCCTCCCTTCCTTTGGCCTTGAGGATTCCATGTGAGGGCTTGTCTTGTGACGCAGTTGGGTGCTTTCCTCGATGTGTGTCCTATCCACTTCCAGCGCTTCTTCCTAATTTCTTCTTCTGCCGGGATCTGGTTTGTTCTCTCCCACAGCAGGTTGTTGCTAATAATGTCCGATCAACGGATCTGAAGTATTTTGCGTAGACAACTGTTATTAAACACCTGTATCTTCTGGATGATGGCTTTCGTAGTTCTCCAGGTTTCTGCCCCATACAGTAGAACTGTCTTGACATTTTTGTTGAAAATCCTAACCTTGGTGTTGGTTGACAGTTGCTTTGAGTTCCAGATGTTCCTCAGTTGTAAATATGCTGCATTGCTTTGCCGATCCGCGCCTTCACATCTGCATCAGATCCACCGTGTTCATCAATGGTGCTGCAAAGATATGTAAAGGTTTTTACATCTTCCAAATCTTCTCCGTCAATTGTGATTGGATTGGTGCATTTTGTGTTGTATCGGAGAATCCTGCTTTTCCCTTTGTGTATATTGAGACATACTTCTTCTGAGGCTGCTGCCACACTGTTCGTCTTTTCCTGCATCTGTTGTTGCGTTTGGGATAGAAGGGCCAGATCGTCTGCGAAGTCTAGATCATCCAACTGCATCTTAGATGTCCATTGTATCCCGCGCTTTCCTTCAGATGTTGACGTCTTCATGATCCAGTCGATCATTAGGAGAAAGAGAAAGGGTGAGAGTAAGCAACTTTGCCTGACACCGGTCTTTACCTCGAACGAGTTTGTCAATTGTCCTCCATGCATGATTTTGCAGTTTAATCCATCATAGGAATTCTGTATGATACTGACTATCTTCTGAGGCACGCCGTAGTGTCGAAGAAGTTTCCATAGTGTTGTTCTGTCCACGCTATCAAATGCCTTCTCGTAGTCAATGAAGTTGATGTAAAGTGATGAATTCCATTCAATGAATCGTTCCACAATGATTCGTAGAGTTGCGATTTGGTCTGTACACAATTTATCCTTACGGAATCCTGCCTGTTGGTCTCGAAGTTGGGCGTCTACGCAGTCCTTCATCCTGTTTAACAATACCCTGTTGAAGACTTTTCCCGGTATTGAGAGAAGAGTGATGCCCCTGTAGGTCTCATACTTTCTGGGATCGCCTTTCTTTGGTATTTTGACCAGAAGTCCTTCTTTCCAGTCTGTCGGTACTTGTTCCCCATCCCAAATCTTATTGAAGAGAATGTGGAGTATCCTTGCAGTTGCCGCTACGTCTGCCTTCATTGCCCCTGCTGGAATGTTGTCTGGTGCTTTTGCTTTGCCACTCTTGATTTGTCTGATGGTCATGCTGATTTCTTCAATTGTTGGTGGGCCAACATCGATTGGGAAGTCCGTGGGTGCTGCTTCGATGTTGGGTGGGTTCAGTGGAGCTGGTCGATTCAAGAGTTCTTTGAAGTGTTCTACCCACCTGTTTCGTTGCTCTTCAATGTTGGTGATTACCTCGCCTTCCTTGCTTTTCACTGGTCGCTCCGGTTTACGTTGATTTCCAGAGGGTTTCTTTGTCGTGTCATACAATTGTCTCATGTTTCCTTCTCTTGCAGCCTTTTCCGCCGTCGTTGCTAAATCTTCCACATATTTACGTTTGTCGGTTCTGATGCTCATCTTCACTTGTTTGTTTATTTCCGTGTATTCAGCTTGTGCCTTGGCTTTTTCTGCTTTTGTTCGACTGGTATTGATCGCTGCCTTCTTTTTCCTCCTTTCTAGAATTTTATCCAGTGTACCAACAGTGATCCATTCGTTGTGGTGGTGCTTCTTGTGACCCAGGACCTCATGGCATGTTGAAGTGATTGCCTCTTTGATCCCCTTCCAGTTGCTCTCCACAGTAGTTCCTTCTCCATTGAGTAGATCATGAAAGGCCTGGAACTTGTTGCTGAGGACTATCTTGAATTTGTTGAGTTTGTTAGTATCCTGAAGAAAGGCCATATTGAACTCTTGTGATACTGTCTGCCCCGTTGTCCAGTGCTTCTTGAGTTTCAATTTCATCTTGGCGACCAGTAAGTGATGATCTGATGCTATATCAGCTCCTCTCTTGGTTCTCACGTCCTCTATAGTCCTCCTGAACGTTTTGTTGACGCAAATATGGTCGATTTGGTTTTGTGTAGAGTGATCCGGTGAAGTCCATGTGGTTTTGTGTATGCGTTTATGTGGGAATATGGTGCCGCCTATGACCAGCTTATTGAAGGCACATAGATTTGCAAATCGCTCACCATTTTCGTTTCTTTCTCCCAGTCCGTGTCGTCCCATGATGTCTTCATATCCAGTGTTGTCCGTTCCAACCCTGGCGTTGAAATCTCCCATCAGAATGGTCAGGTTCTTTTGTTGGGCACTTCTCGACTATTGACTGCAGCCTATTGTAGAATTGATCTTTAGCGTCTTCATTGTAGTCGTTGGTAGGCGCATAGCATTGGATGATGTTCATTGAAATGCCCTCTTTCTTTGTTTTAAACGAGGCTTTGATGATCCTTGGTCCATGAGATTCCCATCCTATAAGTGCATTTTGTGCTTGTTTGGACAGCATCAATGCAACTCCTTGTGTATGTGGTGCATTTTCTTCTTCATGGCCGGAGTATAACAGGAGCTCTCCTGTAGTTAGTCGTTGTTGTCCAACTTGTGTCCAATGTGTTTCACTGATCCCAAGTACCTCTAGGTTGTATCTTCTCATTTCTGCAGCAGTTTGGAAGGCTCTTCCGGTGTCCCACATTGTACGAACATTCCATGTACCTAAATAAATGGTCGCTCTGGTTGTCAGAAGGGGCATCAGCCTCGTAACTTCCGAAGGGATTCGGCTTTCATCATGAGACGTCATAATTCTTCTGAATGAAGATCTTCTGACTCACAGGGCAGAGTTTAAAAGGTTTGAATAATTTTTTCTGGTTAGCGTTTTTTTAGCGAGTTAGTTTTCTACGGGATGGGGACGCTAACCCCATGCTCAACCCTCCTCCTTTATCCGGGCTTTGGACCGGCAGTAGCCCCCGGAGGGACTCCAGGCGGAGTTTGTCTTAACTCAACTTGCTAGTTATTTGTCAACACAGTTTACAGAAATATTTGCTTCATCGAATTTTAACAGATTTCATTACAAGGCATATTGTATGAATGAATAATTAAGTGTTTTGTGTTTAAAAGATTTAGTTGTATTTTTTGTTTTAAGGGAATAAGAAATTTTAGTAATGTTTTCTACTGGGTACGTTTTTTGATGATGATGATAATAATAATAATAGTAATGAGCTTACTAATAATTATTTTGCTCATGGGTATCGA